CCAGGCTGTGATGGATATGTGGCGCAGCGGGCCTTCAGCAGCAACAGCCTGGTGGACCAGGCAAGCACCAGACGAACCTGGCCCATGGCCGGGTTCCGAAAGTAGAGGGACTCTCGAAACTCATCAAAGGTAATCGGGGAAAAAAGACTGCAAACCTCACTCAAGGAGAAGGATCTAGGGGTGAGTATAATACCGAGTACATCTGAGGAGCACACCTACCAAATAACTAGTGCAGGAAATGCGCATCTGGAAAATCTAAGAATAGACTTTCGACATCTAATTACAGAGTCATTCTAGATACTGAACACCGTGTACGTCAAGCTCATATTGGAGTATGCAGCACCAGTATGAAACCCATACCTAGTCAAGCACTGGAGAAAGTGCAGAGGTTTGCATTAAGACTAGTCCCGGAGCTAAGGAATATGTCCTATGAGGACAGGTTAAGGGAACTCAATCTGATGACACTGGAGGACAGGAGGACTCGAAGGGATATGATAACGACGTACAAAACACTGAGAGGCAGTGACAGGTTGAGCAGGGACAGAATTTTTGAGAAATGGGAAGTAGGAACAAGTGGGTACATATGAAATCTGAAAACTCAGATGAGCCATATGGATGTTAGAAAGTATTTGTTCAGCTTTAGAGTTGTCAGAAAGTGTAAGAATTTGGAGAGTGAAGTGGTAAAGGCGGGATCCATACATAGCTTTAATAAGAATATATACGATACGTCTCGTGATACCAGGAGTGGACCAAATAGCGGTCAAAGATGAGGCGGGGCCAGGAGCTGTGATTCGAACCCCTGAAACCACATATAGGTCAGTAAGCACACACACACACACACACACACACACACACACACAGTCATGTAGGTGAGTATATTGTAACGTGATATTATTCTCAATTGTAGTGTACATGATTTCCTTTTATGATATATAAATATTGTAAATATTGTGTTTTTCTTATATATTAACATTTATATATGATTCATTTTTATATAATAATGTGTTTTGACACGCTAGGGTGAGATATATATAAAGCTCTTTTGATTATTATTTGAAACTTGAATAGTAATTTCGAGCTGAAAAATAGATTCATAATTTCTGTTATTATTATTTGTCTCATTCTAAGTAATTATTATTATTATTATTATTATTATTATTATTATTATTATTATTATTATTATTATTATTATTATTAAAATGTAGCACTATTACTACTACTACTACTACTACTACTACAGGTATTATTATTATTATTATGTATCTGTTATTAATATTTGATGTGAAGACTGGGTGCGCGCAAGTTCTGGTAAGTTGCCTTAATTATCGGGTAACGAGAAATGGTTGTCAGAGCGACTTTGTCAACGAGATTTAGTTTTAGTTAGTTTCGGGTGGGTCTCTTTTCCCTCTCACCTGCGTGAGATGCTCAGTCAGCCCTGAGGCTCCTGTGATGTAAAGAAGTAGATCTTTTCCCAGAAAACACTTGCTGACTGTGCATGTAGCTTACCTGTAGTGATTTCCAGGGTTCACTGTTCCAGCGGTCCAGTTTCAGGCCTGTTCTCCCCGTTGCTGGCCTTGAGCGGCCAAGCTCTTGGTATCCACCGCTCACACAATCCAATATATGCACTCTTGAAAACAGTCGGAGATTTATTGTTAATTTCCCTTATGTTTGGCCGGAGGGTGTTGAAAAGTTTAGGGCCTCTTAAGATTACTGAGAACGCTCTTTGTGGACCTATCGTGCCAAGGCTTTTCACTGGAAATATTTTACACCAACTACCAAACCTCTTCTTTCATTGGAAATGTTTTCGGTTAGCAGGTTTGGGACCAATCCCTCCAGAATTTTCCAGGTGTAGATTATGATGATTCTTTAAAGTCTCCTGCTTAAGTTAATAGATTACTATATTAGTTCATTATTATAAATGGCGTATAATGCCAGCAAGTCACTTGTGAAACAAAAGCTATTTTTATTGACCAAACGTTTCGTCTGTTCTACAAGCTTCTTCACCCGAATGCAAAGATGAATTACAGTCTACATCTTACACTGTCTTTAGGACTGTATTTAGGTACCGTCGAAAGGCAGCCTAAGAGTGGGTGCCAGAAATTTCTTGTCTTTTGTCTTTACTGTCTTTCTCCAACTTCTCGCTTTTCTTTTGCTCATAACTCGAGAAGGGGAAAATTGCGACCGGCTTCAGATTTTCAGTGATTGTGAACGATACCTAGCCTAGGGTCAGATTCTTGCAATAATTGACATGTGTTCCAGTCCTATGGCCAAAGTTAGTTCCAGTATCCTGGAAACGCTCCGATAACTTCCAAAACTCTCAGCGGCATAACTGCAAATATCTAATTTGTCTTATCTCAAAAAGTCTGCTGTAGGATTGTTTTAAGCTTTTGATAAAAGATTTTCAATTTATGAAACAAGGTTTATGATCCAAAATTATTTTTTTTTTTGTGTGTGTGTTAATTTGTCTCTGTGTGTTTTTGTGTACGTGTAATAATACTCTGTCTCAAGATTCCGAAAACGAGCTGTAGCTCCTGGCCCGACCTCTTAACTCTAAATTGACTCGAAATAGTCCTGTCGTAATAACTTTTGTACGCTTGTATATATTCTGCGTCCACTGCGACACTGATCAGTTCATTCCACTGATCTATCACTCTCTAAGTTAAACACTTAGAGATCCTATATTGTCTGCCGTATATATGCCTCGGAGAATTTTGTATGTCGTAATTATATCTCATCATTCGATTTTCCCGTAATAAAGTGTCAACTCTCTCATTCGTTCTATTAACTCATTGCCCTCAGTTGAGGCATCAGTCTGGATGTTCTCCTTCAGATTTTCTCGTGTGTAATATCAAATTTACTCTAGTAGTTAAGAGTTCCATATCGGCAGTCCATACTGATGAATAGGTCGCTAGTGAGACAGCGAGAACACTGAATGAATCTATGTCAAGGTTCTTAAATGTTACTCTTATGTTTGCAAGTGAGGCTGCACTCATATATTTGCGATCACGTGGATGGAGTTGCTGGTCATGGCCAAGTCTCTAGGCCACTAATCGATTAGTGTGATGTTCCTTGAGACTCATGGACTATGTCGTAATACAATTAGGACTCGCATATTGAGTTAGCCTCCAACACCTTTCCCAGGACAATCCACTTATTCGCGGGTGTTCACATATGTACGCCCGAGTGTGCGTGATAGAAGCTTACATGTGTGCGTCAGATATTCTATACATAAAGATACACAATCGTACGACAGAGTAACCGTTTTAACTTTTCAGCAAAATTTGCCAAACGAGGAGATAACGCAAAACGAATGATTGTCCACTACAGCCTTTACTGAAGATTTTTCAGAGAATATTGACTCTCAGGATGCTTAGTTACATAATTAAATGAAGACAAATTTAGATGGGTGAAGACTGCGTTTTGAGAGGAATACGATAATTTCATTTAGTACAAGAGGAATAAAGAGGTTAGGTAAGATGCGTCAGGAAACAGGACAATTGTTTCTTGACGCGGGTCTCAGTTATATGATGACCAACCACTGAAGCTTTAGGTTATGTGACCGAACGAGGCTTCTGATGGCTTACCTGTCCTCACCTTAAAAAATTAACGTTGTCAGTAGTTAGAAGAATAAGTTGTAGTTTTAAGCCCATCTTACGCACCTATATTATACTACTAATACTACTGTTATTATTACTACTACTACTAGTACTACTACTAGTACTGCTATTCCTACTATACTACTACTGCTATTACTACTACTACTATTAAAAATAATAATAATAATAATAATAATAATAATAATAATAATAATAATAATAATAATAATAGTAACAGTGATAGTAACAATAATAATAATAACAATAATATTACTAATAATAATAACAACAACAATAATAATGATAATACTAATAATAATAAATAATAATAAAACCTAAAACTTTCACAATGAGCTTGAAATAAATATTATAATAGTTTAAAATAAGGTGTATAAAGTGCTAAAAAAAAAATTTACAAGAAATAATCTAGATCATTAAATATGCGAGTGAAGACGCAATGCAGTAAAGGGGGAAGAAAGAGAATTTGAATAAAGAAGAGGACTGATTGAATAAGAAATAAGCGCGAATGAGGGGAGAAGGAAGAGAATGAAAACAAACAGTGACGTGATAATAGAGTGGGGACAGAACAATGTCGAATAAAGAGACGGAAGAGACGAGATCTAATGAGGATGATGGGAGAGAATGAACATGTAATAAAGAGAGAGTCAGGGTGTAATTGGATAATATGGGAAATAAGATTATCTGTGAATAGCAAGTTAAACTAGATAAATGGGGTTATAATAATTGCAGTTATCGACATGATGGAAATAAATATTATAAACATAATAATAATAATAATAATAATAATAATAATAATAATAATAATAATAATAATAATAATAATAATAATAATAATAATAATAATAATTCAACCTCCTCTCCTGTATAAATTAATAAATGTAAAAAGAAGAAAAAATTCTTTTTTTTTTAGTCACTCTGTCTCGGTGGGAGACGGCCGATGTGCTAAATAATAATAATAATAATAATAATAATAATAATAATAATAATAATAATAATAATAATAAATAAAATAATAATAATAGTAATAATAATAATATTAGTAATAATAAGAAAAATAATAAAATCATAATTTTAATAATAATAAACATGAACGTAATATTTACTTAACATTTGATTGACATTTTCTAACTTAAAAAAATGAAAACTCAATAACTATATTAAAAATTTTAATATATCTTAAATCTGTTTTCTTATAATTTTCAAAATTCGAACTTTTAATAATACATTTACTTGAGAAATTATATATGTATTACTCATTTCAAAATGGCTCCCTCTTTCTCTCTCTCTCTCTCTCTCTCTCTCTCTCTCTCTCTCTCTCTCTCTCTCTCTCTCTCTCTCTCTCTCTCTCTCTCTCTCTCTCTCTCCTCTCTCTCTCTCACTCACCGTGGTCACGAAATGCTGCTTGAGGCCACCATCGTGACCAGGGGTGCAGGTGACAGCCAGGGAAGTAGCGCTCTGGTTCACCAGGGTACAAGAACTGGGTTCTTCAGGTGGTCCTGAAACACACAAGAACAGAGCTCACAGTTGCCACTTTTTACAATAAGTATTATTATTTTGCATTAAAAATATTAATAAATAATGAAAATAACAATTATACTAATAACAATTATAATATAATTATTATTGTTATTATTATCAGTAGTAGTAGTAGTAGTACTATTATTATAATAGTGAGGCACTCTGAAACCATAGGAAATATATAGTTCCAATTTCTTGGACGAAGAGCTCTTTACAGGTAACAAGATACCTCCTAAAACTGAGTGTTTATTACGAACACCGGTGTAGTCTAGTGGCCTGCACACCTGGCTGTAGCTTCATAACCAAGGTAGAAACGAGGAATGAGCAAAAGGCAGCAGTGAGTAAATAACTGTATTTATTTCCTTCACCATACAGTAAGCAATTATATGTACAGTATTTACAGAGGATATGTATAGTAAGGCAGTGGAAGCAAGAGACATGGTGAAAAAACCATCTTCCACCAAAACTGGATGTAAGTCTGCCAATGTTGATTAACAAGTGTGTACCACATAACTTCAAAACTTTGGCGGGCTTGTGATTGGCTGGTTGAACCATGGCGCCAGGATAACGAGGAGGCACCACTCGCTATACCTTTAGCATCTAGTTCTCTGGTAGGGAGGGCATGCTATATGGGTGTGTGACATACGCCGAATAAAATTTAACATACTCTTAGCATACCACGGTGCTTAAACTGGTTACAACTGGGGTGAATGTGGAACGACGACTGTTAGAAAAGAAGTTGTGGTTGGTTAGTTTAAAGGGTCTGAAGCCTATCGATTGGCTGTTGGTCATTAAATGCCATTCACAGCAATAGGGAATATACAGTGGACCGTCGGTACTCGAACTTAATTCCTTCCAGAAGGCTGTTCGAGTGCTGATCTGTTAGAGTACCGAACGAATTTTCCTCATAAAGAATAATGTAAATTTGATTAATCCATTTGAGACCCCCAAAAATACACTTACTGTGACTTTGCGGTGTATTTTCGTATGGTATTTATGATTGTATTCTCTTTTCTTGCCTCATTTGATAGAATGAAAGATATATTACAGAAATAGAGATGATTTTGAATGGTTTACAGGCTAAAAGTACCTTGAAATTGAGCTCAGAGTAGCGGAAATGTTCGATTTTTGCTGATGTTCAAGAGTAAACAAATCACGTCACGCGTCCAATACACGTTAACTGGTCGCTCTAACATGCTTTCACAAATTCGCTGATACTATTTATACTATTTTTACAATAATGCAGTAGTCTGCATAACAGTAAATCTTCTAGTTTTTGTGTGAATAAGAGTTCAAGACGGAAAGCAAGAATAATATAAGAGGAGCCCTAAGTGGGAGGAGCTATAAGAGAGAGAGGGAGGGGCCAGCAAAAGGAGCATTCAGTATCTGATGAGTCGTCTTGATAGCCGGATACTAGCGGTGGTGCGAATACGATGTTGTGTAATTACGCAAGTATTAGTAATAAAGGTTATATATCTATCATTTATTCCAACTTGATGTCAAAAACATGATAGATACTCTAGAAGCACAATAAAGACGCCAAAATTAATAAAAGGCATATTATATGGAGAGGCAGAGGTGGCATTTACATTGGGGCAAACACACTCTAACCAATTTTCTTTTTAGTTGACTGTTATCACTAGTCTTCTTAGGCCCCATGGTGACTTATTTATACAAAAAATAAAAAAAAAATATGAAGAAACACGAAACAGTTTACAGTGAGGTTCAGCAGAGTTTTTGGGACTGAGTGACAGCTGCGGGGAGACTGACGCACATGTTCTGGCACATCATATTTGCTTGGTCGAGTGCCGAGCAAACGGTCGACTACCAAGCAATTTTTATTACCAACAAAGTGTTCGAGTACCGAAGTGTTCGATTACGGAGCTGTTCGGGTACCGAGGTTCCACTGCACTTTGTATATACAGGGATTATTTGTATACACAGTGATTCATACCTCTAATATCAACACAGATGCACAAGACTCAGTGTACTTGTGCAGATGTACAAAAAAGGCACTGGAAAGGGTGATGGCGAGGGGGATGGTGTGGAGGCTGGCATCTAGGCTGGTGTAGGGGCTGGCTGGAGGCTGGTGTGCTGGTGAACTTTCTCATTATCCATCCTATCATTTTCTTTGCACCTGAGATCATGGCATTGCTGTGATCCTTGAAAGAGAGATCCTCAGACATTACTACTCCCAGGTCCCCTACATTTTTTTCTGCTCTATTGTATGGCTAGAGTTTGTAGTATACTCTGTTCTAGTTATTATCCCTTCCAGTTTTCCATAACGGAGTAGTTGGAATTTGTCCTCATTGAACATCATATTGTTTTCCGTTGCCCACTGGAAAACTTTGCTTATATCTTCTTGGAGGTTAACCGTGTCCTCAATAGATGACAGCCTCATGCAGATCCTAGTATCGTCTGCAAAGGATGATACGGTGCTGTGGGTTACATTTCTGTCTATGTCTGATATGAGGATGAGGAACAGGATGGGGCGAGTACTGTGCCTTGTGGAACAGAGCTCTTCACTATGGCAGCCTCCGATTTAACTCTGCTGACCACTACTCTATGTGTTCGATTAGTAAGGAAGTTGAAGATCCATCTCCCCACTTTGGAAGTTATTCCTTTAGCACGTATTTTATGGGCTATTACGCCATGATCGCACTTGTCAAACGCTTTGGCAAAGTCTGTGTATACTACATCTGCATTCTGGTTTTCTTCCAGTGCATCCAAGGCCATATCATAGTGACCCAGCAGTTGTGAGGGTTGGCGTGGAGGCAGGTGTGGGGGCTGGCAGGGAGGCTGGTGTAGGACTGGTGTAGGGAATAGTGTGGAGGCTTGTGTAGGACTGGTATAGGGAACAGTGTGGCGGCTGGTGTAGGGGCTTGCGTGGAGGTTGGTGTAGGGTCTGGTGTGAAGACTTGTGTGGGGGCTGGAGTGGAGGCTGGTGTGGGGGCTGGAATGGAAGCTGGAGTAGGTGCTGGTGTGGAGGCTGTTGTGGGAGCTGGGGCGGAGGCTGGTTTAGGGGTTGGCATGGAGGGTGGGGTAGGGGCTGGCGTGGAGGCTTGTGTGAGGACTTGCGCGGGGACTGGCATGGGGACTAGCGCAAGGGTTGGCATGGAGAACTGGCGAGGGGGCCAGGTACTGAGACGGGGACAAATACGGGGATTGATGGATGGACTGGCGCGGGGACTGGCGCGGGGACTGGCGCGGGTACTGGTGCAGATACTGGCGTGGGGACTAGTGCAAGAGTTGGCATGGAGAACTGGCTAGGGGGCTGGTGTGGGGACTGGTGTGGGTACTGAGATGGGGACAAATGCTGGGATTGATGGATGGACTGGCGCGGGGACTGGCGCGAGGACTGGCGCAGGGACTGGTTCGGGGACTGGCGTGGGGACTAGTGTGGAGACTGGCATGGGGACTAGTGCAAGAGTTGGCATGGAGAACTGGCGAGGGGGCTGGTGTGGGGACTGGTGCAGGTACTGAGGTGGGGACAAATGCTGGGATTGATGGATGGACTGGCGAGGGGACTGGCGCGAGGACTGGCGTGGGGACTGGCGGAATAATGGAATAACTGGGAAAGTGGGGAGATGGATCTTCAACTTCCTAACAAATCGAACACAAAGAGTAATGGTCAACAGAGTTAAGTCGAAGGCTGCCATAGTGAAGAGCTCTGTTCCACAAGGCACAGTACTCGTCCCCATCTTATTCCTTATCCTCATATCAGACATAGACAGAGATATACATCACAGCATCGTATCATCCTGTGCGGATGATACTAGGATCTGCATGAGGCTGTCATCTGCTGAGGACGCGGTTAACCTGGAGGTTACCTGGAGGTTATTCCGGGGATCAACGCCCCCGCGGCCCGGTCCATGACCAGGCCTCCCGATGGATCAGGGCCTGATCAACTAGGCTGTTACTGCTGGCCGCACGCAGTCCGACGTACGAGCCACAGCCCGGCTGATCCGGCACTGACTTTAGGTATCTGTCCAGCTCTCTCTTGAAGGCAGCCAGGGGTTTATTGGCAATTCCCCTAATGCTTGATGGGAGGCTGTTGAACAGTTTTCGGCCCCGGACACTTATGGTGTTTTCTCTTAGTGTACCAATGGCGCCCCTACTTTTTATTGGCGGCATTTTGCATCGCCTGCCCAGTCTTTTACTTTCGTAGGGAGTGATTTCTGTGTGCAGATTTGGGACCATTCCTTCCAAGATTTTCCAAGTGTAGATTATGATATATCTCTCCCTCCTGCGTTCCAACGAGTACAAGTCAAGTGCTTCCAAGCGTTCCCAGTAGTTAAGGTGCTTGACAGAACTTATATGTGCAGTAAAGGATCTCTGTACACTCTCTAGATCTGCGATTTCACCTGCTTTGTATGGAGATGTTAATGTACAGCAGTATTCCAGCCTAGAGAGAACAAGTGATTTGAAAAGGATCATCATGGGCTTGGCATCTCTCGTTTTGAAAGTTCTAATTATCCATCCTATCATTTTCTTTGCACGTGCGATCGTGGCACTGTTGTGATCCTTGAAAGTGAGATCCTCAGACATTACTACTCCCAGGTCCCTTACATTATTTTTCCGCTCTATTGTATGGCCGAAGTCAGTAGTATACTCTGTTCTAGTTATTATCTCCTCCAGTTTTCCATAACGGAGTAGTTGGAATTTGTCCTCATTGAACATCATATTATTTACCGTTGCCCACTGGAAAACTTTGATCTGCATGAGGATCTGCATGAGGCTGTCATCTGCTGAGGACGCGGTTAACCTCCAAGAAGATATAAACAAAGTTTTCCAGTGGGCAACGGTAAACAATATGATGTTCAATGAGGACAAATTCCAACTACTCCGTTATGGAAAACTGGAGGAGATAATAACTAGAACAGAGTATACTACAGACTCTGGCCATATAATAGAGCGGAAAAATAATGTATGGGACTTGGGAGTAGTAATGTCTGAGGATCTCACTTTCAAGGATCAC